CTCCTCCTTATTCCAACTCCTAGTACTCATTTTTATTCAAATCACTCAACACATTTAAGTCCAAAAACAATGCCGAAATCAACAGCAAAAACAAAAACCATAAAACAAAAACAAGAGCAAAAGCAACAACAACACCAACAACAACAACAACAACAACAACAACACTACCGGTTAACAGGAGCACTCCTGCATCTCCCTAACCCAAAAACCATACCTTGTCTCTTTGAGATCGACTCGGAGGACAACAGATACCCAGAAAAACAACTGCAGCACGAAATCTTCTGTCCAGTACTGCCAACCGATATTCTCTTGAATCGGGCCGATCCCTCCGACAAACAAGAACCCCGTTTCTTCCGAGCTTCGACATCTATGCACATAAACATTCGCATCGTTATAAGAGACCACAAGTCTGCGGTTTCTGGTCGCTCACTCTCAACAGACCCCAATCACTCGTCTAGAACCGATCCTGCACTCGAAACAGACACCGGACGCGGGCCAGGGGGACCTCATTCGCTCTCCGACTTACCGAAAAAAATTGTATATATGTATGGCCCGCTTTAATTCCTCCATGCCGGATATACACATTCAGAGGCCGTAGACAGATTTTACGAAACAGTCGAGATCGGTTGCTATGTACATATCATGATGCGGTATTCATCTGGTATCTCCGATGCAGATATATATATATATATATATATATACATATCTAAGATTGTTCATCACCCTTTGATCCATTTGTAACTGCAGTGACTCGTGTTTTCTCAAGCGAGCAGCTGTATGTGTGTAGACAAACTGGTGTCCAGACAAATGGAGGACTTCCTGCGGCCCAGATGGCTTGATTTATGAGAGGGCCTGGCTATGTAGAGTTTGTTTGCCGGTGAAAGCTTGAGCTCAAAGCCCTTCCATCAATACATACATTAACAAAGTTATGTAGACACCCGGAAGGCCTCCAGTGTGGCTGCTGGCACTGCTGATTGACCAATCCTGGGCACTTCTGAACTCGTCAATCAAGTGGAGAACACGACCAGTTAAATACCCCCAGAGTCTTTCTTGGGTGGCTCTTGACTCCTCTTACTTAGTAGCCTGGTTGGTGGTTTCATTTCTTTGGAGATTAAATAAAATCTCTGGAGACCTTGCAAGTTGCTTGAAATTTGGTCCTGTTCCTCACTCAATGCATCATGGAAAAAAAACTATATATGTATTTCATGATCCAATATTGGCAGCCTCAGATATGATTGGCATCAGTGAGACCATGTGATATCTGAGATGTCTGAGTGCTGTGACTACCCAGAATTCCAAGTCAAGTCAATATGGTTACCAGCTCAAAGAATTTTGTTATGTGGGCTGTATCCTAATTACTATGTAGAGGGGGGGGGGCTTGGATGAACATCAAATCAAGAAAATAGTATTTTTTGCTGCTGAATATGGTGGGACAAAGTAGCCCACTATTTCCACATGAATCATCCCACTGTGCTTATATAAGGAAGGAAAAAAATTGACATCCAAAATCTCAGTTTTGTTTTGTTTTGTTTTATTGTTCTTTTTGAGGATTTGGTTTGTGTACTTTTAGATATAAGTTTCCATGGAGAACCTGATCCACTTGTCAATTACAGTCTGAGCTCATGTCCTCATGGTTTCCAACGTAGGACTTCCCGTTGGCTTTAGTCCATACAATTACAGCCCCCCCCCCTCCCCCCAAAGCTATATCTATCAAGATGATCTTGTTTGTTTTTTGTATTTTTGGTTGGGCTGGTAATTAGATTCTCTCAGGATTCATCTGGGTTATTGAGACAACTTTTTTTAAATAAAATTCAATCTTCACAAGCACCCAGCTAGTCCTACATACCACACTAGCCTTTCACCTCTTTTATGCCAGTGGGATTCTTGGACTTGTCCTTGGTGCTTACAAAGCTTTATCTACCTAGACCAAGCAACCAGTAAGAAACATTTGATGAAAATTTGATGTTTGCAAAAAGCTTCATACATTCTAGGTCAGTTTCCTGTGACTCTCAGGAACAAAAGACCCCTTAAACAAGTTTGGTGAGTACAATTTTGAATTCTTGATCCAAAATTCATACATTTTGGTTGGGACCACAACAAGGATGTGCTGACCATGTTTGTCTGGGTTAGGTTACTTTGAGATTTTGAATCTCTTTATCTAGGAGGATGGAGGACCCAACTAGATGGGAAAGTCCAAGAAACTCATTTTAATGATTCAGAGCAACAAACTGGTACAAAGTAGTTTTTAAAGGTATCCTCACCAGTAGTTACTATGGCAGGACGTCCGGCCGATACCCGGTGTCAGGACCGGATGTGCCCGGTTCGGATGTTGGACAAGCTCCGACCCCGCCGGGGATAATGTTGAATTTGAACGGCCGATCTCCTGATGGCCGTCTGGGTAAGATAGACAAAGGGGACCAATGCAGCTCACTAGATCAGCAATACAAACTCAGTCTGCATTCCGCTGGATGCACCAATCCCGAGTCGCAGATGTTCACAGTTCATGAGAGATAAAAGTCCCTCCATCCGAGCGATCCCGGAGGAACTTGTGTCAAGTACGAACCATCAGCAACATGAGCAGAATATGTAGCGTGTTTGGCCGGAGGCTGATCTTCAGGTGATCGTTGGTTTTCGATCACTGACCACATAGGCTCAAAGAATCACACCAGACGTGCCTTGCATCAAGCCAGACTTCACAATCACTGAATCGTCCACTGGGATGATCCAGCCGTGCAGCATTCAGTCGAAGAAAAGTCATGGAGAGCTCTTGCATTGGACATCATAAGCTCCGACTTGCTAACTCATCGCCTGCTTGTTATAAAACCGCCGGTCTATGACTCTGGCTCAATCATCCGCATCAACCCTTTCTGCAGCAGACCTCAGCAGCATCGCATCGCCATCTGGAGCAAGCGCCTTGGTTAAATAACAGCAGCCAAGCAGACAGCAAAACACACGCTACCACGATGATTTCGACGATGATATTTTTGGCCTTGAGTGTTGCTGGCTTGCTGCCCTCCTTTGTCTCCGGCCAGGCGCAAAACAACGTGACTTGCTACGTGAACCGTCCTCCCCGTCCGATCGATTTCCGGGACTGCCAAGGGTAAGCCCGGTCCCGCTTTTTCTAACTGTCGACAGAGATCTTTGGAAGCTTCTTTCCTAACCCGCACTTCCGCGCCCATCTGCTCAGTGCCTTGAATAAGATCGTCTACGATCAATATAACCGTCTCGACTCTGTATCCGGAAGACTATTTGTCTGGCATAAGACTTGCAGGGTAAGACCTTCATGCTCTGCTGATCACCGCGCTCTATCCCAATTGAGGCCAACCCCCCTTTTTTCTTTCGGTTTATCTGCTTGTTCTGAAGATTCACGTCCAGAAGACAGTGACTCTTACACCGTAAGTCTTTTTTGCCCCATTGGCCTATACTAACTTGTGCTCCCGAGGCTGATCTTTTGTGGGTCTATCCGTCAGATCCCGCGCTCACATCGAAGGGGCCGTTCGAGGGATTTTCCACAGCTGTAACTACACGGTGGGTGCACAGGCAGATGAGGCAAAACTTACATGGAACACGCTCGAGTGCTGATATCTACTTTCCAATACCAGGGAGGTATTCGATCAGAGCCTCAGATGAGCACCCGGGTCTCGCGAGCAAGCTCATTAAATACATACCCACAGAACCAGCCGATCTGTCGCAAACGGAAGTGTGCCTTCCAGCCAAACGACTGTCTTCTGTAAGCACCCAATTGATATCCTTCAGATCCTCAGGCGCCGACGGGCTGGAAGTCCGGTCCATCCTGATCGACGCCCTGTTCCCTCTCGTCGCGTCGCGTACAGGGCGTTCAACCAGATCCCAGTCGACAACAAGGGTAACTTCGAGCCGAATCTCATGAATAATGTCGCCCGCGTCAAGCGGGGCAATTGCACGGTATGCTCAAGTTGTTCTTTCTTGCATGTCTCAAGAGGGCCAGACGTCGGGAACTATCCTGATCCTGATACTATCTTTCTGTCCGACTCAGGTTGTCGTTCGGACCACCGACCTAGCGCCCTTTCGCACGTGAGTAGCTTGATTATCAATTTTGGCAGCTTGAGGGGAATAATTTCAAACTGACGATTGGATGAGGACTTAGCTCGCATCCGCAACTGAACTCGGCCTTTAAACAGCTCCTCAGCCGATGCGGCAATCATGTGAGTGCCGAGCTGTTTTTGGTCCAGTCCCTTATACACCAGCCGAGCCTGACGTCCCGTGCCCATCCCCGACGCACTCCCTCTCTAGCCCGGAAAGATCTTCGTCCCCGGCGGGACCGCTGGCCGCAATGGCGCCATCAAGCTCTCCATCCGTGCCAGTCGAACCGACACCTGCAAGTAAGGCCTCTCGAGCCCCTTCCCCATTCCTCCCAGGCCTCTCTGAGAGCAATCAAAATGGGAACATGCCCACACTTTTACCTTCCTTCCTCTTCCACGTACTGCTGCTGGTTGTTTTCCTGTCTCCCCCTGTCTAGTCTAATCTCACTCCAACATATTCCATAACACTTATGTATCATAAACACTGGTTTTTTCATATACCATTTGCATATCTCTTGCAAACCTATAGACTGTTACTATAATCTCTGATATGTCTTGATATACACATGTGGTTGTAGAGATAATTTTCTTTTATGTATGTTGTGCTTTGACTACCTATTATTCTTCTTGCATACAAGATCATTGCGTATTTTCCACAGTTAGTCATTGTACGGTTTACTTGTTGTGGATGCATTGAAGGCTTGTTTGAAGGAGAATTGGATTAGTAAACTTCTTGGAAAATGCTGTGGCTTAGGAAAATCATCTGTAGACTACATAGGGTTGTCAAAGCAGACAAATCTCTGCCAAATTTCCCTAATGCCCAATAATACAATACATATGAAAGCTCTTTTTGGACCATGTGATAAGTCACCTTTTGGCCTAAGATTATTTTAGTTGATCAATAACTTGTATAAAGGTTGAAACAACAAGTGAACTTGCAGAGAAAAATAGTGTTAAATGTTGTTCTCAAGTTTTTCACCTTGGAAATTCATATCTGATTCCCAAGGCCATGGTAATTGTGCCACAATTTAATACATCTTGTGATATTATCATATTCACACATTTTTGTAAAATCACTATGCCTATCCAGCCTAATGTAATCTGAGTGGTAAGTCACAATTCAGCATTTAATTACAAGGATTGTTATTCAGGTTCATGTCATTCAATATGATTGAGTATGTTGCACACACACCTAAAACATTTTGATGGTTTTCAGATGATCCACAGTTACACCTACTTGGAATGGGAAAAGAAAACCTTCCAGATGGTTGTTTGTAAAAACAAACAGCTGATGCTTAACTCCCAACATAACTTATCATCTTCTGTGCTGAGAAATATAACCAGAATGTTCCATATAACAAACACCAACTTTTGTGCATGTAGGTTTTTTTTTGATCCCTTGTAAAATATAGTTATTAAATTTTTTGAAGAAGTCACTCGGTATCTTTTACACAGAGAGAAAAGTAGCTCATAACTAATGCCAAATGGTTAGGTTTCTGTGTCCATAGTTTGGGGGGAGAACTGCCCTATGTCTCTCTCTGGTTTGCATCTAGATTCCTTCTCGAGAACCCATTCTAAACATTTTTTATCAGAACTCATGACTTGAATTTAGTAGGTTTGCCTTCTGGATTGAAAAGTAGCCAGACAGAAACTTATGGTCATCCACCATACATTTTTAACTGTAAGTTTAAAGTTCAGGAGGTGTTCAGATCTGTAGGTGTATTATGTGCGCTTCAAGTTGAGACTGTATGGGATGTGCTGAGTGGGGATACTCCATTCGGTTAGTCCTAGTAGTGCCGATTGAGTTTGCCTGTTGACCATCCCAACACTCAAACCATCCAGCGACCATCCATCCATCATGCCATTCTCATTAATCGAACTGCTCAGACAACGTAAGTCAACAACTCACCTCCTTATGCATTTATCTACCCAACAGTACTCAATCTCCGCATGACCTACAACAGGCTATCTCGATACAATCCAATCCGTTAAACCGACGAATGGGCGATGGAAGATCCTCGTACTCGACAAACATTCTCAATCCCTGATCTATGGCGTCCTGAAAACCTTTGAAATTCTGGAACTGGGTGTCCAACGTAAGTATCTCCTGATCGATCCACCCCCAATTCACAGGTTGTCTCATCTTTTCAGACTCTTCCTCCGGATTTTCGAAAATTGAGGAAAATGACACATTTGCCTGGATTTGTTCTCTAAATTAACCATCAAAATACAAAACGCACGATATCCCCCACGGCTTTAAAATATATTTGAATCGACACGACCACCAATCATCATCATTTGAAACATAATCCTATTTCTATTTCAAATCAAAACAGAAATCGACCTAATTGAAAATAATCGCAACCCGTCCCCAAACCTCGATGCTATCTACATCCTCGCCCCAACTGCCAAAAATGTTGATCGAATCATCTCAGACTTCGTCCCTCCAGGTGGTTCAAGCAGAAAAGGCACGCCAAGCGGTTCAAACACTTACGCCGGTGCACATATGTTTTTTGTTGATGGTATGTAATTTGTTTACGTTCATATCTTCATATCTTTATCTTTCTGCTTGACAAAATCATCTCTCTCCTTCCATGATGAAACCATTAGCTTTGGACGACCTCCTTGTCAATCGCCTCACGAGCTCACCCGCTGCCCCTTTTCTCAGACAATTGATCGAATTGTTCACTAATATCTCAGCCGACGAACCCCAAGTCTACACCCTCCGGCCCCCCAATCCCCGCAGTCTAATCACTTTGTACGGCCCGCCCCCTCGATCTCCCCGCGACGCTCTAGAGGCCTGGGAAGATGAAGTCTGTTGGATCAGCAAATCGGTTGGCAAGAATTCATTTGATTACCTCTTTTCTGGAGGCTGTTCCCTTCTTCTCGGCAATAACATTAAATCCTTGTTGTCATATGCCTTGTCGATTTCTTTGTCTGACTCATCTTTCGTTCTTCCCTCCCACCTCGCAATTCACTCGATGTTGAACAAACTTAGTTGATTAACTTGTTTGCTACCTTAGGAGAGAAGCCATATATTCGGTACTACAATCCCTCATCGCCCCCACTCGGACCTGCTGCACTGGCACAAGACCATCTATGTAAGAGCTTGGCGGCCTCTCTCGAAAAGGACCTCGCAGCTTACTGCGATTCTAATGAAGAATTTCCGGTAAGCCTTCTCAAGTTCCGCGCACATCCTTGAGGATCCCGCTAATTCTATTGTTTCTTAGCCGGTCCTCGATCCTCCTAGACCACGCGGGACCATGTTCATCGTTGAAAGAGCCATGGACTTATTTTCTCCTCTTTTACACGAATTTACTTACCAGAGTATGTGCCATGATCTGTTGGAAATTACGGACGGAAATAAATACTGGTATGTTTGCCCGACTCTGACTGCATCATATGAGGGATCGATTGAGACTCAATGCACTTAATGTAGTCATTCATACAGAGACCAATCCGGTGAAATAGAAGAGAAAGAACACACATTAGGGGAAGAGGATAAAGTTTGGGTGGAAGTTCGACATATGCACATGAAAGACGCGCTGGACAAGTTAATCAATGATTTCAAAAACTATGCATCTGAACATGGTCATCTTGCAAATGGGAGCAGTTTGAACGATATGAAAGACATGTTGGCCAGCCTACCACACTTGAAAGAGAGCAAGGAGAAAGTACGATATTTGATGACCGTTCACCTGGCTGGGGTATACTAATACATTGCTTTTATTTTCATTGGTTGTGTTTCTTCTCAGCTGTCCCTTCATTTAAGCATGGCCGAGACGTGCATGGAGCTGTTTGAAAAGCACCAACTGATGAACATAGCCTCCGTTGAACAGTGTTGCTCCACTGGTATGACTGCTGAAGGGAGGACCCCCAAATCAATTGTGGAGGAGATGGTACCCCTATTGGACGATCGTTCGATCAGGTTAGTCATCCATCTCACTTATCCTTCCCCTCATCCGAATTTACAACAGTTCTCAATCTACGGGATGCAGTACATCGGACAAACTGCGGATAGTTGCACTGTATGTCCTTTACCGGGACGGTGTTCCGGACGAGGATCGCCGACGACTATACCAGCATGCAAGGTTGGCATTACATGAAATGGATGCAGTGAACAATATGGTCTTCCTCGGTGCTAACGTCACCAAAGATAGCGGGAAGAGGAAGAAAGCATTATTCAAACAACCACTCGATGAGAATGCTTACGACATCTCGCGCTTCCAACCCGTCGTCAAACTAATGCTACAGGTATGAGTTACCGCTGCTGAAAATCAGACCCGACGATGACCAAGCTGATAAGTTGTATATGTGTAGGATGCTGTATCAGGCAAGTTAGACCAAACTGTCTTTCCGTACATGGGTGACAATCCTTCAAACGCGCAAAACGGTAGTGGTCCGGCCTCTAGCGGCGGTGCCCCGACATCCTTGCGGAGCGCGAAACCTAGTTGGCAACGACCAAGATCAAAAATAGCTCCTGCGAACCGGGAACGTCTGATGGTATTCGTGGCCGGTGGCTTGACATATGCAGAAGTCCGAGCGGCATACGAAATTTCAGAAGCACATTCTAAGGATGTCATTATTGGTGAGCTTCCTGATCGTTGTATGAAATCCATCGATCTTTACTGAGATAGAAACCATCACATCCGCTGTTGAAACTAGGTTCGACCCATCTATACACACCGAAGAAATACATTGCCGATCTGGCTAATTTAGACCGGGGTGGATCTAGTCAAGGATTAGGCCCACCAGTCTTGGACAGCAAATCCTCCTCTCGACCCTCGAAGCCCAAACCAGTAGAACCACGCGACCGATTGAAAGCCGCGGACACCCGATATGCACATGAAAATAGCTATTCCGGCCCTCCGGCGTCTGCGGCCCCTCCTTCTAGAAGAGATTACCCTCCCGCTCCTCCTCCAAACCACCGCCCCCCTCTAAGTGCTGCCAACGTCCTCCACGTCCCTTCCCCCGCCCCGTCCAGCATTGGCCGGAGTCCCATGTCTTCTCCCGCTATTAGCTCAAACGCTTCCATTAACTCGGGCGGCGTTGAAAAAGAAAAGAAAAAGGGATTCTTTGGGAGGATCAAGAAGTGACACATTCGTTGGATCTTCCTTCTTACTTTCAAGTTGACATGATCTCCCCGTTTTTTTGTTTCGCTTGGAACATATATCTCATATGTCTCTTCCTTTCGTATTCCCATCTATACGTTTGTCTTTATTTATAGATATTTATATATAATCTTCGGGCCTGCATGGTCTCACTCCCTATGTTCAACACATGTAAATTTATTTGGTTGATTTTTTTCATCTTGGTTTGTTCGATCAAGGTTGACATCCCACACAACTGTTCATTAACGCCCAACCTTGACAAAAAAAAACATCAAGAACTTGAACACAAAAAGAGGAGAGAAGATTGAAATATTTTGATCAGCTGTTAGGTTGTGGATGATTGTATACATTAAAAGAAATCCATCTCATACTTGAATTGAATGATTAGCCAAATGGCCCAATGGGTCTCTAGTAGTTGGGTTCACAATGCAACTTGAGTAGACTAGAACCAATGTGTTTCTCAGCATCATTTTAGGAATTTTTCAAGTAATACTGCCTGATGAGTGGTTTCTTTCAGGAAACTGGTTGATTTTACAAACTTTTGCGCATCAACACCTTAAACCTGATTTCAAATGTGAATCTGGATCAATATATGTATGTAGAGGGGTTCACCTGAAAAAGCTTTTGTAAACCGGATCTATCCTCAGTCTTGATCAAAAATTGACAGTACCATCCTTGTCGGACTGCTGGAGCACCTCACTGGAGGAGATACTATCTGATTCCACATCTTTGCATGGCTATCAAAAAAAAAAAAAAAAAAAAAAAAAAAAACATCACTCTTCTCACATTTTTCCATTCCCTTGCATTTATCCAGTCACAGCAAACCCAGCAGAATTAGGAACATGCAGACTTTTATGACTATCATTTTTTTTGCCCGGTCTGTTTTTCAAAATTGTGACTCATTATTCATACTTGTTTCACATGGATTTGGATACAATGTAACTCCCAAGCCCAATAACACGTCCGGATCTGCTACCTTGATATTCAACAATCAATGGAAAATAGAGCTCCGGATTTAGCGATTAACAGAGTAATAGAAAAACATACACAAGAATTGATATACTTGATTTACGCGTTTCCTAAGCACTGTTGGTTTTTATTGAAGGCCAACCAACATTTGCTCAGGAGTGTGGCTAAATGTTTCTTGGGTTTTTGTGAGGTGGCCTTGTGAGGTAAGAAGGGTCCATTGAGTTATTCCAAGTGACTGTGAATTCGGGCGACTGGGGTGGTGATTTGTGTGAGAAGATTCATGGATATTGGAGCTCTCTGAATGAGCAGATGGGCTTTGATGGGACTCGAAGACAGTCAGATTGGCGTACTTGCGGAAGCCGATCGGCTCTTGAAAGAAGTAAAAGTTCCATCCGAGATCGGTTCGACCCATCTTATCATGGTCTTTGAGATTAGCATCATTATCTAGACTGTCAAACGGTTTGAACCCGAGATGGCTCCCATTGGAGGAAACATAAGTGTGTGGAGCAGCGGGTTGACCGGGATGGTCGAAGAAGCTGATCCTGAAGTCGGTGAAGTTAGAGAACTGAAAGCCGAATCCGATGATCTGCTTGGCGCGAAAGCGCTGGTTGAGTTGGACGGTGACTGTTGCGGGCAGATTTGAAGGCACCCAACGAGTGGCGGAGGAGCCGTCTACAATCGAGAGCGGGAATTGTCCCGGTAGGAACGCTTGGTCGGACTTGATGGGTGCGCATTGGAGCGGATTGGCCAGATATACGAGCCGGTTAGGGACCGTCAGCGTGCTTCCGCTTCCAAGCTTAAGGACATGACCGGAAGATCTAAGCTTGACTGGTATGGGCGCCTCGGCATAGTTCGGGTCCGCATCGGGAAGAGCCCCAGAGCGCGGGCGGAAGAGGGAGGTGTGAGTCTGGTTGGAGTTGGCCCGAATGGGATAGCCGTGCCAGTAGATCTTGCGATAGCTAACCGAGCTGATCTGGGGCGGCAGACTGGGGTCTACGCTGAGATGGTCGAGCTCCAAACGCAGGCCGAGGTAGCCATACACCGTTACCCGGTAATCACCTCCCATGCCGGTGAGAAATGGGAACGCAGGATGGGTCCCGCCGTTCAGGGAATAGTCGTCGGAGAGCTGTTCGCTGAACTGAAACCAGGGTGCCCGGACATAAGGCTGTGAACTAAACAGATGGTAGGTATAGGAGGAGCACCCAGAAATCTGGAACCTGTTCTCGACAACACTGTATACTCCGTAGGTCATTCCTGGCCCATTGAGGGACTGCTTGGTGCCATAGTATTCCAGATTCTCGAGCCTGTGCGGGTTGGGAAAATCTAGGAAATCATCAATCAAGACCACATCCGCCTGTTTGACAACGATCGACGAATTCATCCCCTCGTATTCCAATATGATTCCGGTCCGGTTGTCGATCGGTAGTGCAAGATTGTTAGCTTGCTCTAACCATAACGGGTTGGTCTTTTGACCTAATCGTCTGTTTAAGACATTGGCAGTATTCAGATGGTGTTTGATCAGAAACATCGTATATGCTGGATTGTCAACATGATTAGCATATTCATCCTATCGAAGCCAACAAAAGATTCAGTGTCAAGAAAGTCCCTAATATCAAAACATCAGAATTTTCGTTATCCTCGATGAGAAAGTAATTAAACTAACTGACGGGATCGGTGGCATTTCTTAGAGTATACTTCTTGTCAGAAGTTTCCGATAGCAAGTTGCTGAACAGCCCAGCAATGGCTTGATAGATTGGCAAGAGCTGGCGTTTGAAAAATTTGAAGTTTCCAGTGGCCACGAGGTGATGAAAGAAGCTCAAGCCAATATCACCATTGATGTGGTATTCGTAATCGAAGCAAGGTCCTGAGGCGGTGCAGTTACCGAACCGTCCACTAGTCCAGGGATAAACAGCATCGCTGGGCGAGAATTGGTTGGTCCGATTCTGGGAAGAGGTATAAGCCATCTTGATGTTCTCTTGTGCTTGAGGGAATTGGGCCACCCGATAGTTGATGATTCGTTGGCCGGCCTGCGGATGGCTGAGTACTAAGCCGGGTGCCATCCATACCTCGGCATCCCAAAAGATCATTCCCCCGTAGCAAGAAGAACCTAATCCACAGACCGAGATGCTCCAGTGGTCGAGTGCCGTGGAGTTATTGGCAAGAGCGATGGCGTTGGAACTCAAAGTATTCTGTAAAAGATGGAACGGGTTGGTTATAGCGAGGATCTGCAGCTCCACTATGTTAGAATCAATTGAAGAAGGGTCATATTGAGCCAATCCGTAATCATCGACCGACTCTTCGGTCATGATGGAGGACCATTCCCGCCGATGGAATTCTATCTGAGATGAAAAGCCATCTTTGGCACCAGCGAGCGCAGATTGAAGGGCTAGAGTGTGAGGGTCGGAGAAGGCATCACCCGAGGCAGCTCCAATGAATTTTTCCACGATCACAGGCTGGCCCCGTTTCAACTTGATCGTAGCTGATTGGGCGATAGTTGAGGGACTAGCTGGACTGGAAAGCTTTGGATGGCCTTCCAGCAAATAACTGCGAGAGAAGGCCTCGGATCTTAAACTGGAGCACACGTGTCCGGCCAAGTCAGCGATCCCCTTCGGCCTCACGGCAGTGCAAATCGTCGACGAGTTCGGGTGATGATGTTTCTCAACAAAATCCGTTCTGACAGCACAATCGCCATCCAGAAGATCGATCACGCTGATCTCGAAGTCGGCGAGGGCCTTGATCTTCAGTTGAACGGCTGCCCGGTTGATGTGCAGTTTGTGAACAAACATCGTATATTCGATCGACAACTCAGGTTGAGCCCCCAATAAAACCCAGTCGAATTTCCACTTCATCAGACCCGCTTTAAGATCAAGGGTGGACTGGAAGTTTCTGATGTGGATTGGATCAGTCGAAGCGTCCAAGATAGCAGCTTTGGTTTTCACTAATAGACCAGCCCAATGGGGCAGGCCACTGATAATGCTCTCTCCGCCGTATTGCTCAAGCCACGGGAAATTGCTGCTGTTGAGCTTCGGCTGAGAGTTGTAGAAGCCGGCGATGGTAGCAAAGCTTTGGCGGCGATCGAAGACTGGCCAGCCGTTGAGGGAGTTGTTGCTTGGGCGGTCCTGTTCGAAGAACGGGCCGAGAGCAGCCAGGTTGATTCCCAGATAGCCATTGGCCAGGGATATCCTGGATTGATATCGACCTGGTTCAAGCACGGTATTGGCGAGCTTCCACTGCTGATTGTCCCATCGGACACCTGGGAAACGGGTAGAATAATATGTGCTGTCTGCGGAACTTGTGTTGTTCGGACTGGCTGAGCAGATCGCAAGGGCTAGCAAAAGCCAAGCTGAGATAGAAAGAGCTCGGATAATTGTCATGAGGAGATGAAGGAAAGTGGACAACTAGATGAGCAAGAAAATGCCGAAGGAACCACACAAGATGAGCAAGAAAATGCCAGGAAACTCAGGTGGGTGATGTGGGACAATTCAGGACCGTCAAGAATTATAAGATGATCCACACACAAAGAAGTGGATCGACGGCAGTAAAATAGTGTCCACCATCCAACGTTACAGCGAGGTTTTTTGTCCGAACAACACTTTTCAAACTATGATGGCAAACCTGGGACATCAACCAAGATTCGTTGTGGAGACACTTCAAAAGTTGTACATCCATACGAGGAGATCGATGGCAAGATTGGACCATCAGATTGCTGGACAGAATGTTCAAGTGATCGGATGAGCCGGTCTGACTACAATACATGGGCGGCAGGCCGGCTCCGGGAGCGGAGCTCAATACTAGTCGGCCGCACAGCTCAACCCACTTGCCCAGTAAATATCCTGTTTGCCACTCCCACTATTGAATTTCCACTCTCAAATTTCAATCTCAGAGTGGCCTTACCAGTCTCAACCTCTCAGAAGACTTGTTCTGTCTCCTTGATTCCAAGTATCAAGCATTGCTGCTGAATGAAGAAGATGAATTGGTGTGGTCTAGGAGCTTGTGAGCTTGTCCTGGTTGTGCAAGGGCATAAGTATTTTCTACTTTAATGTCTATCAGTAACCTCAAATCTCTGTGGAGGAACAGAGACTTCTCCAGCGATCTCCGCAGAGAGGCGTGCTGAATTACGCGCCTGATCCGGAAAGGCAACACTTGCTGGGATTATGTAGCAAAGTTTCGTGCCTTCCCGAGGGTGCAGCCAGACATTTTGATTCCGTGTCGTTCCGTCCATCTGCCGCGCCCATCAACCGGCTCAAGTCGCCGCTCTCCGGCTCAGATAAGTACCGTCCTCCGCCGACGGCCTCAGATTTGGAAAATCCAGCAAAGGGATCGGTAAAAGGTTCATGCCATACCGACGGGCCCGACCCATGATGCCATCGTTGCGATTTGGAAAGCTGATGTGTATCGTTTGTCATCGGCACGCCGGTCCTCCTTTTCGCCAGCAAAAAACATGTTTCAGCTTGTTCATACAATGTTCACAAGCTTCCAAGAAACATCGACCAGATACATATTTACTTACCCGCCAACAATGAAACGGGTTTCATTTCCAAAACGCTGGACAAACATGAATACTTGTAACGGAAGAAATGAGGTCCTTCTGTGGTCGTCTGTGCTTCTCGGGGAATTGTATCTTTGTACATCCTGACCCTCCTCATGCCTGGATCTTAGCAGCCCCACGGCAGCCCACGTGTACGAAGGATGCAATCTGTGGGTCATCGAGTTATTCGAAATCCTTGGCCTCTATAAAGCATGTTGGAACTTCCGTCCTTGACTTCCCCAGCATCCCACAAAAGTGCGTAGAAAAGATTGCAAAGCTCTCAACTACATATAACCTTATAACAACACTGACTTTATAATTTGCTTCTTGAAGATGAAAGCGATCACCTCTTTGGCCTATCTTTTCGTGATTGTGTTGGTGGAATATAATACCCCTTGGAGTGCGGCGATTGGCTTGAATGAAATTTGTGAGCACTCGGTCAAGCTGAAAACCGACTTGCAGGGGCCCGGAGAAATCCAGCCGACATCCCTGCAGCCCCAGGCGTTTTTGGAGCATTCCTTCGAGACCAAAGTTCGCATCAAAGACGATTTCGTCTACATCAATAACCCATTCCCTGGAAAATGCTATGCATCAGTCAAACTAGATGATCAAGTACTGGCCCCGTTGACCACTTTGAACGACATCAATGGCCTGAATGTGATCCCTAAGAAGGAGCTTGATGCGATACATTGCGTCGCTCGATTAGAATCTTCCAAGCCACCTGACTCAGAAATAAAAGTGAGGTACCATATTGACGATCAATTAATCGCGTCGTTGTTGGATGGTACTGCAGGGCAAGTTCCTCACTCCTTTTTGACCTTTTTTTTTATCAACTGAACGGCAGTAGAGGTGAAGGTAAACAACCGTCTTATGAATGACAAAGTTACAAGCCAAGTCAGACAAGAAGCCAGAATGGCTGACTTTTTCATGGTGGGGGTATTATCCCTTTTCCCTTCAAATCTCTGATGATCCTGTCATCCTCTGCGCCATTGACTCTAGACAGGCTCATGGTGTCCAATATAATTTGAACTTCGAAGCATTATCCATCACGCTTCCAACTCTGCTCCTAGCACATCCACTCTAGTCATTCCTTGATTGTCATCCTATTTCCGTCATTTCCTGACTGCTTAACTGACGTTCCTACTACCCATGACAGATTTTCCCGCAGCGATCGAGTTATATCTCCAACGAATTCCCCGGAGCACTCACTCAGTCAATCGTCACTAGGCTCGACCGGAACGCGTTACATTGATGCCCCATACTCCTGGCGCAATGGCGAACCATCCTGGCGTAGTGACGGCGAAGTCCAAGGTGACAATACCGCATACCCGCAACATAGTGATAGCTTATCTCGCGACAGTGATTTCGGATCCCACTCCAGTGAAGACCGATTCCATCACCACGATTCCGAAAGCGAGGACAGCGAGTCATCATCCAAACGAAACTCGTACTATTTTCCAGAAGAGAAGGACCCAGCCAGCGAACCCGAGGAAGAAGAAACGGCAAGCTTATTGCACCGAGACGCCTCGCAAGATGGACCTGCCAAGAAACTCAAACCTTGGTCCTTCCGGAGGCTCTTGAAATTGCAAAACAAAAAGGAAAATAAGTAGACTGAAAAGCTGAGAATCAAGTTGACCTCACAGGCGCTGAAAAGACACATGATCGTCTTGATCGCAGTACTAGAAGCCAGCCTCTTGAAGCTGTTGTTCGTTTTCTTTGATCCTTCTGACCCAATCCCGTTTTAATCATAATAGCTGTTCTGAAGTTTTGTTAGTGATATTGCCACGGATCCATACATTCATGAATGAGAGCTGAACATCATAAACTCCTCAAGCTGCTGTCCAGCAATTCTCCAATCAATCATCCCGACACAATCCTCCATCAATTTCGCTTTGTCAAAGCAACGGAATCGACCGATGAACTTGATTCTTATACCCCTGTGACCAATCTATACATTTAATATATGTAGCTCAGATAATATGTGTGTGTGTCTATGCAGTCTTCAGGTAATATGATATATTCTTCTTGATGGTTCTTCCAACCATCTCATTTCCATTAAAAAACAACAACTGTTGAGCCGGAGATTTGTTGATCATACACATTCCAAAATCCTAGTCAATAAGCTGCGCTAATCCTCATACATATAATATATATCACTCTTAACATTACTCCATATCCTGTACTGGATATGCAGTATTTTTTTTGTTCACTTCTTCACACCATTTCAACAAAAAAAAAAACAACTTCATTTCCAGTTTCCAGTTTCCAATTTCCTTTTTTTTTGACTGCAATATATGTTATCTTAGTACTGGCTCCAAAGCACTGTTGAAAGTGGTATTATTATAGTGACTGATGTCATGATGAGAACCAGCGGTCATGATTGTCCCAATCATCAAGCCTATTGTTTTGGATTGGGTTTTGGATTGATAGATGACAAGAATTGCAGATGCACCTGGTTCAACAACATTGGTCAATCAGGAAGAGGATACAATGGTGATGATAATGATCACAATATTTTTTTTTCTTCCTCAGACAATTTGGACCAGGATTGAAGAATCACAGAATCCACCAGTAACATTATGCTATACATTTCAATGACTTTGATGGAAATGTTCAGATGATCATCATAAATCACCCCTCCCCACTGATTGTATCAGATACTAACCACCTTGATCACACATTTTACTTAATTTTCTTGGTTTGTTCACTTATCACATTACACACAAAAACACACACACAGACACACAATAAACACATACATACATACATACATACACATACACATACATATATATATATATAGATCTTTTTCTTTTCTGGTCTCTTTCTTTTATTATATCTTTCTCTCTTCCTTTGTCTCTCTTTCTCTTTCTCCCTCTCCGTCCCTCTCTCTCTCTCTGCACTCTGCATGACAATGAGTATTTGAATCAACAATCAACAATCAACAAACCAAACAAGGAAAAAAAAAATCACACACAAACACACACATAATAAACCTACAAAAAAATGATAACATGAGAAAGACATACAGATAAAAAAAACTTGAGTTAGAGAGAGAGAGAGAAGTAGGAAAAAGAATGAACGAGAGAGTGTGAGAAAGAAAGAGGAAGGAACTTAAAAATATATATGAAAAAAACTGAAAACTATGTAAATAATAGATGAGACCACAAAAAAAGGATTCTAACTTTCTCTCTTCCAGGGAGGGGGGGGGGGGGAGACAAAGAAAGAAAGTGAAGAAGAAAAAGAGTTAATGATGATAAAGATGATGGAAGAGATGACGATTAGAATTAAGATTATTATTAGGGAGGGGTTGAGGAGGAGGGGGCGGTTGAGAAGGAAGAAGGATTTGAGGGGGAGCAAGTGGAGCAGGAGCGAGTTGCGGAGGAGGATTGATGGGAGGATAGGGGCTGAGATTGTTTGAGAGATTGGGAGCAGGATGATGATGATGCAGATGATGAGGATGAGGGGGATGAGAAGGATTCTGATTGAGGTTTAGATTATTAGAATGAGGATGTGGAGTTGGATTTGGATGAGGGTTGGAGAATGAAGAAGGAGCAGGAGAGGAAGAATTAGTAGTAGATTGAAGGACGAGAGGCGGTGTAAGATTATTAGAGGGGATCAGAGGATGATGGACTTGGCCAGCATTGAGATTGAGGGCGGCCACGGAGAGTTGGCGTTGTTTGAGCCGGAGTTGGATGACCTTGGAGTCTGCAGAGAAGATGATTTGGGGTCGACAGTTGAGCGCCAGACTGTTGATCGATGGGTTGTTGAGTGCCACTTGAGATTGACTGGGGTAGCCGATCAGGCCCTGTTGTTGGCTTCGCTTGCTCTGTTGTTGAAGCTCTTGTTGGCGCGCCGCTGCGGCTGCTAACAAGGGCGCGGAAATCGAGGGTGGCGATTCGGAAAACAGATGTCTATTCATATGTTGGAGGGTTTCCATATTAGTTCCATCTCACAAGGAGCTGATATACCTTCGTAAGGTTAGAATTGCTTACCGAAGATTGGGACCCGGGATCACTTGGACTAACAACCCCGTATCCACATGTCTCACCTCGACAAAGCTGGGGTCGAAAGCTAAGACGAATGGATAATGGAGAGCTATAGCAAACCAACCAAACACACAATCATCAGAAATGAAGAAATGGTTTAATTGAATTCAAAAGAAGCTTACCAAAAGCCGTGGGATTGCCTTCCCATTGAATGATCCAATCCAACCGACATCTCCAACCAGTTTTACTAACCTACACACACACACAAAAAAAACACCGAAATGAATGAGTTCAAGAGAAAATCAGCAGAGCACCAGGAGACAAAGAGAGAGAAACGAACATAAAAGGCGAATTCCTCATAACACAACAAGAATTCCGCCTCGATGCGAAAGATGGAGATCGGCTTCACGGCCTCACGACGAGCAACAAAGTCGAGCGAATGGTCGGCTGGGTCGAGTAGACCAAGAACATCGAGCGTCTCTAGATTGACGATCTCAAATCCTTTTTGACATCCTATGCACAGCTTCGATTTCAGGAAATGTACGGAACTTGAGACCGTCGGTATGTAGAACTCCTTTAGATATCAACAAAACAAATTGATCGTCAATTCTTGTTTTTTTTTTTGTCAAGAAAATAGAGATCCAAGTCTCCGTCTAGCTGGGAGAGAAAACAAGCTGGAGAGACGAACCTTATAGACTTTCAAGGCATCATTATTAGCAGGAATGATTTTCCGGAAGGCGGGTTTAGTCCTAGTGCGAACGTTGAGCTGATGATTAAGGTTATCGGTAGGTTCGAGAGTTTTGATGGTACTAGAGACGCTACCGGCCTTGACGACACAGACGAGTTTGCGGCCAAGACAATCTCCGACCTTGAAGAAGCTAGCATTCGAGGAGACTTTTCTAGCCCGCTTGGCCGCTCCCGCTGCGTCATTTGGATCTAGTCCATCCATCCAAAACGTCATCACTACTTTGTCCGCTAACACGAGTAGGATCCCTTGTTCCTCTATGATATCCACCTGGGTCACATTCTCCACCTGGATCACTTGTACTGGAGCTCGTGTTGGGTCAGATGTGACCGCAAGGTAAACCCCTACATCATTCCCAAATATCAGTCGGTTCCCATTATCTGGTAAAAAAAATTAATCATGCCAAGAAGAGTTCAATTTAATCTCAAGTGGTCCATTCAAGGTTCGGAGGAGGTAAGAGTAGACATACCAAAAGGGACTGCGCAGTTAACCTTATAAGGGCCGACAAAGAAGCCTTCATTAAGCGAGACCATTTCGAAGATTGTATTTTGTTCGCGAATCTGAGCCTGACGGGCGTAAATTTTATCCAGCCATTTCTGTCTAGATTGAGGTGTAGGAGCCCAGAGGACGATCGAGTAACCTCTGCGCCCGAGTTGATTGATAGTCATCGAGAAGCCGGCCTTATTCTGGGCCTGAATTGGTACGACGACCCCGTTCGAGCTAACACTCGTCCCGACACCCTTGCCCTTATCTGATCCACTGTTCCGGGTCATCAATGATTTCTTGTTCGAGTTCAGTCCTCGCCCGCCCGTACTTCCGTCTTCTTGATTTGTTACTCCCGTCACCGTTAGTAGCTCGAGTGGGATCGGCTTCCGGTAGACCTTCAATTGGTCGGTCTTGTTTGAATGTTTGTGTTTGACCATCAACAGTGCATGATCAAACAGATAGACTTGCAACTCGGCACTATCACTACCGCTTCCTCCTCTCTTCTTCAGTTGTCCCTTGTAGATTAGTTCTCGACCTTCCTCTCGTAACCGTAGATCCTGAAGTAATCACCAAAGGGCGACAACCCGTCAAAACAAAAGAGATACAAGCCTAAATTTTACGATGAGAGAGAGAGAGAGAGAGAGAGATGGTTAATATGTATATATACTGACAACAGCTTCTCCTTGTCTGAACACAAGTTGTTGGTCGAGTTGAGCTAGGTTGAATCTGTTTTCACTCTTCCCGGTCTCGATATTCACTTTGGCCAGAAGTTCCCGAATCATCTTGACGACCTTCGGAATCTCGGTTTTATCGATATGATCGTCGGGAGTATATTTGAGCACGACCTCTAACAGTAAAGGATACCGAGCTAGTCGAGTCGTCGGTTTTGTGAGATAGGCATTCAGCTCCAGTTTTCTGGATTCTGGTAGTCGTTCTGCTTCCTATAATCGTTCAAAGATGTAAGAGAAAATGGTGAGAAAAAGCATTGACATGTAAGATTTTGACAGCCGAGTTGAGAATAGGTGTTTCCAAGTAGGTCAAAGGTCAAGGAGAGTGATAGGGAAGAGAACCAATAACCAACATCGACAAACTTTGCAAAAGCTGGGTTCGCACTTTTCTCACGTTCGAACTCGTACTTTCCATACAGCTGATGAGCACCATACTTGACGAAGGGAGAGAAGTGAGGGACGAGCTCGAGATAGATGTCAGCGATATGTGGGACGACGTGAGCCGACTTCTGCCGTTTCGAGAGTAGCTCGCATAATCGAGAGTTGACCGATAAGACTTCGAGGACGTTCCAGAATACTTGACTCAGAAAGTCCTGTCGTCGAGCTTCGGGAATGATATTGGAAGCCTGTAGTGGCTTGATCCACACCTAAGAGGGGGGGGGGGGGATCGCACAAGATAAGGCCTGAGTGTGTCAACGTATTGATATATAATCAGATCAGACGTACATCACGTAAGTATTCTAGATCTCTAACAAAATCCCTTTCGGTGTAAATGCACTCATTGATAGCTTCCTGGCGTTTCTTCTCGGTGTCATTAACCGAGTCAACGACCTCTTGAGGAACTGAATGAATCCAGAGTGTTCCAGGTTCTTTGAGATCGCCGAGGGATTCGGTTGATAGGCTTCGTTGTAGCCCTGGTTTCGGCTTCAGATTTAATCGTGCCTGCTGTTCGAGTCGACGGGGACAAGCGATCGAGTAACACAACCTATCCCTCGTACAAGTTGGTGAGTAACAATCGGTGAGAAGGGTGAACACCCCACAGGGTAGGACATCCTCCTCCTCCTCCGTTACCTCATCCTCCTGAGCTTCTTCCTCATCCAGCCCGTCTAGTTCAGATTGTGCCTCTGAGATTGGTCTTGAGGTTTGCTGGAGTGAATCATGGGTCGAGTTCCTAGGGTTATCTTGTTCGGCTGTGAAGGTGTTGGTGAGGGTACCTCTGAACTGATAGAGCTCGTGATGACTGTCACGCAACCTGTGATCGTAAGTGACATCGTGGAAGAATTTCTGAGAGTCGAGTGCACGACCTAGTAGGAGGGCTAGGTTCCGGTCGGTGGTCTTGATGATATAGGCGATTTTATCAACAGCTTCTCGGCCATCAAAACATTCGGTATACGTCAGCCCATCCTTAGTCCGTTCGGCAAGCATGATCCGACTTCGGAAGGCTTCGGCAACTCGACTGAGTAGTGCGGGATAGACGATAGGCGGACGAGAGGTGAGGGTGGTGGTAGGCTGACGAGGTCGGGAGGAGGGACCGCTGGAGAAGCTGAAGGAGCGATCGTTGGCAGTACTCTGTTTGGGTTGGGTGGGCATGACTCGGACGGATTCGCAAGATTTGCGGGGACGGATGAGGAGGGGTGAGAGTTGGCCAGACTGTGAGCCTGAGAGGGTTTGATCGGAGGGCATACTGGACATTCCAGCGTAGATGGAATTGTGATCCAGGTCAATAGAAGGTTTTCGATGGATTGAATGGGAATAGGATAGATCTAATATGATGAGATGAGATGGAAGAGAGAGAGAGAGAGAGAGAAAGCCAAAGTCAGAAAAAGTATTTGAGAGAGTGGCAAAGAGGGTAAGAGATGATTTGTTGATGTCAAGAGTTTGACAGCAGAGAGAGAGAGAGAGAGAGAGAGAGATCTGAGGGTGGGCCTCTCACAGAAGGAGGGCTAGGCTTGCGCAGTGAGTCAGGTAGGATTAAGGTTTTGGGGACAGAAGTTGTATTGTTGAGATTGACTGACCAGATAGGGGGGCTTGTTGGTCGAAACCTTGGTAGGTGGTACTCTCTTGAATCGAGCCCAGTCCGGCGCTGTCCGAGTCGAATTGGGGTATGGAAGGCTGTATGGATGATGAGGGGCGATGGTGGAGGGAGAGGTTTGAGAAGCTGAGGAGGTTGGGTTCTTGGATGGTGAAGTTGGAGGTTCGAATGGGAGGGATGAAGTGGTTATTGAGTGGTTGAGTTTGATGATGGAGGCTGCTGAGACGGTCGATTTGGTGGTGGTAGTGGGGTTGAGTGTAGTGTTTTGATGATGAGTTGGTTGAGGATGAGAGTGAGTAGCGAGCAGATGAGCCGAATGATTGGCTTCTGAGGTTGTCTGCTTGAGTATGATGATGGTTGAGTGAGTAGGTTCGTTCGGGAGTAGTTCGATCGACTAGGGACTGAGCTCGTCCGGGTTGGTTGTAGATGATCTGATGATGAGGATGCTGCTGATGAGATGAGCCTGTGGGTGAGCTGAGTGAGTGCTGAAGGCTTGAGTGGTGGTGATTATTATAGGCTTGATAGCTATGTTGTTGTTGTTGCTGGTGTTGTTGATGTTGTTGATGTTGTTGATGTTGATGTTGTTGTTGTTGGTGGTAGTAGTGGTGCTGGTGCTGGTGAGGTTGTTGGAGTGGTGGTCTGTTCTTGTCGCCAAAGATGTCAGAGTAGGCAGTCGATCGTTTGTCGGTTGGTTTGGTGCTGGTCATGATACTGACTACAGTAGGAGGAAGAAGAGCAGAAGAAGAGAAAGAGAGAGAAAGAAAGAAAGAAAGCCCAAGACGAAGAAGAAGACTTGGATGAAAACGAGAAAACCAACTGTCACACATCAGATCACAAGAAAACTCAAAACGACTATTTACATAAACCAAAACTCACAACCACAACCACCTTAATCAATCCAGCCCCTTGACAGAAAAAAAATGGAGCCCTTTGATACATAGCTCAAACCAATGACCTCAAATCTAAACAATCTGGTGAAACTCTATCAGATCCAAAGACCCATCATCTTATAGGAAGTTGGATAGTAAAATAAAGTAATTTGGTAAGATTGTTGCCTCATTTTTTTGATCCATTTTTGTTGGTATGTTTCAGGCCCTGATTATAATAAACCAAGTTTTTGGATTTCGGCTTTTTTTATTTGAAAAGTATTTGAAAACCAAAAAGAAATCAAAAAGAGACCAAAAAGGAGTTCAAACACTTTTCAAAAACTTTTTGAATACTTTCACAAACCCCCAGGGCCTAGGGGGTCTGTATCACGTCTCGGTGCAATTACAAGGCACATGACCCGCGCGAGCTGGCCCTTGTGTGATTTTTCATCCCCAGGGGAGGGGCTGCACAAGGCAGACTTCACCGTCAAAACAGTGACTTTCAATGAGAGTCACTTCTGCTGTGAATGAGAAGCAATGGTTTGTTTCTATGAAGTGGGTAAGGATGCTATTCCACACTTTGGTAATGGTCAAGACTTATGCTTAATAGGTCCTCATGTACAACTAGGCTCGGTGCTGGAGTAGCCTGTCTGCGCTGAGGAGGTTACCGGTCGATTGCTCGTGAGACTCCATCTTTGGTAATTTTGGTCGGTTGCAGAACGGGTGTGAAGCTTTTGGCAGATGCTGATGGTTCGAGATGTCCGGTGTGGAGTGAGGTTTTCAGATTGGTCTATCTGTATGACTGGATATTGCCATACAGCAGAATACTGACCGGACTTCTGTAGTGTTTGCCAAAATGAAGTTTTTGAGATCTCAAACCACCTGCGGAGCTGGTTTGAAATTTTTTGAGTGGGTTTTTGAAAGAAAAAATAAAAGAAAAAGAAAAAAAAAAAAAGAAGTTGGAATACTTTTCAAAAACTTTCAAATATATTTCAAAAATCCGTTTATAATCAGGTCCTCAGTCATTTTTCAAAGTAGCTTGAAAAAAAAATTAAAAAAAAATAAAGATCAACACAATTGCATGCACAAAGAATGATTTATCAATCAACTGCCGCTTTTTATAAGCAGCTTTGCAATCTGTCATCCACCTAGACCAACCCTGCAATTCTGATCCAATCTCAGTCCAGATTCTTCTGCTCTATGTAGATCTTATAAACTTGGGACCATTTTCTCTTCTGTTTTTTCCAATCCTTCATTTATAATCACTCTTTTCACATCCAATTGTGCTGATCCTGATTTGTTCATGAGCTACTTTAAAAAATGATTGAAAAAAAATACAATATTCTTACAAAACATTTTTCTATCCAACTTTTCAGAATTTGATTCTTTAATGGAACTGATCATTTTACAAAGGTTCATCAGACTGCTTAAATTGCAGTCCACTGGTTTCAAGCTCTAGCTGACTCCAATCAAAAGCTTCCAATTTTTCTGTCAGGCGGGGTGTAAGAGTCGCGTCTTGACTCTTCACTAAACTTCCTTAGTTATATCGTCGGGACAGGCAATTGCCTGGAGAGAACTTTCTAGAACCTGAGTATGTATGAATTTCTTGAACTAGTTCGGTAGAATGAAGTGTAAGAGTTCTCTCAGTACAATATAATCAGATAGAATGATGAAGAAAGAAAGAAAGAGAATGAGATGAGAAATAAGAATGAAAATGGCTCACCTAGTTCGGTAGAATGAAGTGTAAGAGTTCTCTCCCGAACTAGGAAGGGGGAGGATGATTGTAGTTTAAGTAGTGAGATGATAGTTTGTGATAGTCCTTGTGAAACCTGTATGCGGTGAGGTTTCACACGGGGGGGTTGTACATACACGGACCATAACTCAGTACACCTTGATTAGGGAGCAACTGAAAGAGATTCAATCCACCGATATTCCAGCAAAAACTGTGTCCAAAAGTGGGGAAACCTTGATTTTTTATTAAAGCCCTTTTTGTTATGAGCTTTGGAGGACTGGAACTGGGGACGTTACATATGTAGAGAGCCTGTTACGTACATGTCACAAACTTTGAACTTGGAGTTCGTTTGAGATCCACACCTTGTACATTCCTCATCTTGCAATCTACCATCAAGAACCAGAACCCAGAAGATCCCTTCCTGCTCTCCCCAGAACACCCATAACACTTTTATAAAACCAACATTTGAGCTTCTTTTACAGTACCAATGTAAGCGGTTTGACCAACTCATGCACACCAAAAAATTGACTTGAGCCACAAAGGTGTCCTTTTCAAAAATAGATATAAAAAGATCTGAGAAAGCAAGAAAGAAAAAAAAGGTGAGTGCTGTGCATGAAGTAGTCCAACAACCAAGCCTTCCACACCTGTGAAGGAAATTCAATGGATGAACATGGTTAGAGATGGTCGCGTTGGATCCGGATATCCGCGCGGATGCGATATCCGCTCAAGATTTCAGCCGAATCACGCATCCGCATCCGCATCCGCATCTGCGGGCGGGTATCCGTGCAGATATCCGCGATACCCGCCCTTTTACAGGTCAACTATCGCGGCTGGAAGGATAACCTTCCAGCAGGGATGTTTTTTCAAAAAAAAGAAAGAAAAAAAAAAA